AAGCTTGTTCTAAGTAGGTGCTTTAGACCACTGAGCCATCTCACCAGCCCAATGCCCCAGTTTAAAACAGAAGTAATAGTGACTGTCTGGCACTTGTCATGAGAATTAATCATATTTTGACCAACACAAGTCTACAGAAAGCACTTAGAATTGTTATTAGCTAACACCTAGCATTTGGTAATATTGGCTATTATTTTTATTATTTCTATCAATTTACTTAAACTTTCCTGTAAGCTGAACAGCACTGATTTGTAAGGGAAATACAAGTCAAATGAGTCCTTCCAGAAATAGATCAAATATACATAAATACCCCAACTGTAGAAATAACTCAAATCCAGTCAATATTAGTTCACCTGCTCCTATTTAAAAATGATGTAAAATCTTGTTTTCTATGGAAGCAAATTATGCCAGTCCTAGCCTTTTAGTTTTTTGGTCCAGCATGATTGGTAAGAGTTTTCCATTCTTCTGAGGACTGGTAGTATTTTCCCATGGAACAGTGTATTGTAGGCCTTTTAAGGTTTAGCAAGAAAATCAATTGATTTATGCGTGGCGATCGCTGGATTTGATCTAGTTGGAAGTGCAGAAGAACAGTAGCCACCAAGAGTATCAAAGGCATGACTCAGCGGTGGCCACTATGTCTCCTTTTATTCTCACTTAGGAAGAGTCCAGGGTTGGGATCTGGGCTCTTATCTACATGTGGCTAAGTCAAAGCTGCGCATTTGCTTTGCAGTACAATCGCCCGCATGTCACTGTGCGGACAGACATCACGAAATTAGAAAACACTTTCTGACAGTCGTCATACAGACTTGGGCATACACAGTGTGTTCACACAGCTGTAACACACCAGGACAGAAAAAAGCTTTTACCGTAAAATAGCTTAAGGATTCAGCAGTGCCTATCTTTCATATTTTCCTACTTTTAGGAAAAAACAACACAGAACCTTTGAATTCCTTGGGACTTAAACACTAAGGCTGATTTGCCAATAGCAGGCTTGAGAGAGGAGAGCTAACGTCAGAGGACAGATGTTTTCTTTTACAAATAACCACCCGTCCATGCGTGTTCCTCTACCACCTCCGCACCAAAGGCTACTCGCCTTATGAACACAGATAACCCCAGGCTTCGGATCTGTAATCTGACTGTGGCCATCAGCAACCAGAAATGAGTTTCTTTCTAATCGGCTCTCCATCAGCCCCAGTCACTCATATAAAGGAGTCTGGGAGGGGAGGGTTTGCATTGCTCTTGGGCGCCTGGCTTGTGGACAGCACCCCAGCACTCTGCAGAAGAGTACCCGGTCTTTGCTCCTTGCCAGCGCCACTGCTGCCGCGCTAGTACCCCCTGCTGCCGAGAAAGACAATTACATCCGGACCCATGCAACCGGCAATGATGATGTTTTCCAGTAAATACTGGGCAAGGAGAGGACTCTCACTGGATTCAGCGGTGCCTGAGGAACACCATCTCCTTGACAACTTAACAGTGAGTACTGAGTACCTGGGAGCCTCTAGACGGTTTTCTGGGGTAGTGGTCATTCGGTCCCCACATCTGGACACCTAGTGTGGCGCAGGCACACACAGCTCAACTCCTGCCTTCATCATCCTGTCTCCTCACTTCATTTCTGCCCGCCTTCTTTTCCCGTAAAGCAGAGCAGGTGCACTGATGGTTGTGTGCTTAGCTTTCTGCCCACAAAATAGAAAATGAAGTTTCTGAACATTAGGGGAGTGAGTGAGTATGAATCAATGTCCTAAATCCGAAGTGCCTTCAACTTTCAAAGGTCATTTGTTACGAAGGGGCATAAGCAGAAGGAATTAAATCAATTCTTGTGGCGTCACCAAGGTCATAGGGTCTTCTGTACCCTGTTCAAGTCTACAACCACGAGTCTTGACACGCAGAACTAACATCTTGTATTTTTCACTACAGATTCTGAAACAAGAAGGATCAAGCCCCTTTCAAAAGTTTTTCTGCATGCCTTGTTACTCCATTTAGAAAGCTTAATTGATGGAGTAATGAAAACAGTATTTTACTTGTTTCTATATGTAAGGAAGTTTTGGCATTTAAAATATTAAAATAAAATACAAGGGGGAAAACCAGAATTTGTAGAATTTTAGAACCTGATTTGAAGTAATAGTTTTGAGATTTAATAAAAAACTACTTTTACTTTATAACAATGAAATAAAAATGTACTCAAGGTACCTAGTCATTAAAAATACTAAATTGGTGAGACAGCTCGGTGGTCAAAGCACCTCCCTGGCAAGCCCAAGGATCCGGGTTCAATTCTCAGTACCACATGCTATGCTGGCCCAGCGCCGAGCCGACAACTGAGTCTGGGCATGATGGTGCATGCCTGTAATCCCAGTGCTGGGGAGGATGAGACAGGAGAATCAGTAGGAGTCCAAGATGCATAGCAAGACCCTCTACTAAATAAATACTTTTTTTAGATCTAAAAAATATCAAATGGTATTTTAATGCTGAACTATCAGAGTTTATCAACCAATTCCAACTGAGTTTGTCATAGAAAAGTCTGTCTTAATATTGTAACTCCAAGGGCTGGCCAAGTAGCTCAGCAGATTAAAGCGCCTTAGGAAAATGCAGGAACCAGGATTTGATCCCTGGCCTATTGTGCCGGCCCCGCCCTGAGGAATGCTGAGAAGGCAATTGAGACTGGGCATGGTGGCTGGTGCCTGTAATCCCAGCTCGTGGGAGGTTGAACATACACGGATCACTACGAGTTTGATCTACATAGTGAGACCCTGTACGAAAGAAAATACAAAAAATAAAAAGGTAGCTCCAAGTATGTACCAGAAGGTTGCATTGTATTGAGATATTATTATTACTAAAAATGTTGGAAGGTCACAGCAACTTGTGTAGAACTATTTAAATCAATTTGCAAAAGTTAGTCCAAAAATGTAAA